AAAATGCCAAGATTGGATTAAATATACTGCGTTTTTCACGAAATGATTTGGGATCATGGATTGTTAACATTCGTGCAACATTCATCTCAGTACACTCAAGACATTGACGGGTCCAGAAAAATTCATTCACGTCATCATAATTGGTTGTATCTTGATGATCACGTGGTCGATTATCCTTCTTCAATGATGATGACGCCATGGTCGCAAGGACTTGATAGACTGGTCGGATAATCTCATCAAGATAAAATCCTTCTTTGACGTTAGGTAAAGTCTCTAAAATCTCTAACTTGGTGGCCATTTTATGATACAAAAAGCAAATACATTCGGGCATAAATCGAAGATTTCCTGCTTCTCCCCATAATAATAAAAAAAGAGCCAGTTCTTTCTCCATTCGACTTGTATGGTCCATCTTGATTGTCGCCATCGCTTGCACAGGTGTGTCTAAAAATTTACACCACTTGAAATAATTCTGGAAAAATTTCCCATGGACACGACCAAGTGCTGTTTTGGTCACGAATTCATTGTTTAACTCGATGGTTTCAAGAGGAGATTCCGAACGTATACGCATTTGATAATTCGTCACCCAACAGCCTAAATTTTCCTTCTGATTCGCAACACTACTGGCTTGGAAGCCAAATTTACGCTGTAAGAGCTCAAAGGGTCCAGTCTGTGCTGTCGTATGGAAACTTTCGAGACGATTGAGTGCCAGTTCACGATTCATGTCGAGATAATTACTCTCAGCTTGTCGACGCATGGGTTAGATGAAGAGTTGGATAATATCGTACTTAGAGACTTGGATAATGTCGAACGTGACAAAAGATGAATGACATGAATGGCATAAGTGATAGATACCCCTATCCCTTGGCCTGGCACAACTGATTTTTGAGGGAATAAACAGGCAAAAATCTATTTAAATGAAAGTGGTAGGTTTGCAAATAGCCAATCAGATGACGTGAATGTGAGACCTGGATTGTGGGTTTAGAAATAGGACTGTTTCGTTTTGTGTTTTATTGAAATGGGTACAAATTTAATGAAGCAAAAAAATCCACTCGTTCTTTTTGTCATGTGTAGTGATTTCTAGTCGCTGGGTCATTTGATATCGTTTCAAAATGGGTCATGGGTCTTCTTTAATTTACGCCTGCCTGGTGCACCTTCTACTTGTAGCCCATTTTTGCGATCGTCCCGCCTAAATCTTCGTCACAAAAGTAGACAGAATTATTTGTCACAAAAGACACTTGTTGCTGCTCGAGGTGGTGTTTAGTGTTGACAAGAGCATCTTTCTTCAGACGACGGTGGTTTGTTTTTCACACACAAAATCTTGTTTATATCAGATCAAATGCATTGAATGAGTGGAAAATCCATTGCGTCAACAATGGCGCAACGACTTGGTCTGACTATTGCTGTTACTGCAATAGGTTGTAGCAGTCTGACCATGTCATGCATGGTCTCTACGATAGCAAGCTACTACTTGACTCAACCATTTCGCCGTTGATAGTGTTTTTTCCAGGACCGCAAGCCTGGAAATAAGAAGATTGCCGATAATGTACATTGTCGACGTTCTAGGACGGTTTCATTGCTCTGTAAACATCAGCTCTAGCGTCACATCAGTACTATTGAGCTTCCAGAAAAGTTGCAGCCATTAGACTCGTTCGTTCTACACTTTTTAGCTTGCTTTTGATCAAGGAAGCGTTAACGGATGGATCGATGAATGTGGAGGTAAATATTAAGATGCGGCCTTTGCACGTGAATATGGACGTATAAGCGCTTTTTTTCATGATTAGCGTTGAGCCTTTTTTTATGTGGTGAACTAGATTACACAAATCCTGACTTAGTCATTTCTGTTTCTATAGCAATTAATTATTGTGGGGAAATATCGCTTAGAAATATTGCTGGTCCTATAGATGTAATATAGTATATAAATCGTCATCAAACTAAGCTGATTGAAATAGAGACAAGAATACATGGATAAAGAGCTTTATTCATAGCGACTTCCAGTTACGCTCTGCTCTACTCATCATCACGATCGTTATGTTTTATTCAGCACAAGCTAAATAATAATAGGTAACATGTAAAGATTAGCAAACTTTAAGCTAAAGGCCGATCCACTTGTACGAAAGTTGTGTTTGCTTTCATCAAATTCTCCTCCGACTCTGTCAATTGGTTCCAAAATGGAGCAATTCCCACCCTCGAGCGAAGCCTCCACCTCCATCACACCGCCTCAATTCTTCCGTCACACTCACATGATGCGTCCGTCCTTGCAGTTTCAAGCATCCATTGAATTCTCTGTCATTTCTTCCACATGCAGCAATAATTTCACAAAAGGCGTGAAAGTCTCACCTGATGGTCTTTGTCTCTTAACAAACAGTGATGACCATATGCTGCGTCTATTTGAGATGAATGATGATACTTGTCACTCTCCTACGAGTCTCTTACAAGCAAAAGAAGGTGGTACAATATATGACTATGAATGGTATCCCTTCATGTCGTCTACTGATCCAACTTCCTGTATTTTTGTGAGCACTAGTCAAGATCAACCAGTGCATCTATGGGACGCCTATACGGGAGAACTTCGAGCGTCTTATCGAGCTTTTAATCATCTGGATGAACTAGCAAGTGCTCATAGTCTTGCATTCAATTCAGTGGGCACAAAACTCTTTGCTGGCTTTGATCGAATGATTCGGTTTTTTGATCTATCACAGCCGAGTCGAGACTTTCGAGCAAGACCATTGAGCAAGACTCGACGGTCGCGTAAAGGCCAGCGAGGATTGATTAGTACGATCCATTTCAATCCAGATCATTCGAACATTTATGCGGCAGGATCGTATGCTGGAACTACTTGTGTGTACACGGAGGATGAGGGTGAAGAGTTATTGGCATTGCGCGATCATGAGGGTCGTGGAATTACTCAAGTACGTTTTTCTCCATGTGGACGGTTTCTATTTACAGCTGCACGACACGATGCACGGATTCATTGCTGGGATATACGTGCAACGAATGAGATTCTGCATACCTTCAATCGTGTTGCTGACACGAATCAAAGGATCGAGTTTGACCTGCATTGTGGCGGAAGATATTTAGCTACTGGCAGTCGTACAGGTCGAGTTATGCTGTATGATGTATTAACAGGAGAACTGATGGATGAGAAAATCAAGCTACCTGATTGTGTCAATGGAGTGTCGTTCTTTCCTGACGTTTCTAGAGCTACGATTGCGGTTTGTAGCGGTCAAAGGCATTACAATTTACCAGAAGACATGCAAGGTGAGGACGATGCCGTTGCCAATGACATGGAAGTAGTTAAGGAGGCACAAACTGAGTTAGCAATACGAACAAACTTACTACAAGTGTATGACTTTCAAATGCCTAAGGATGAGAGCATACACAATGAATCTGAAGCAACTCAATAGGTCTGCAGAATATGGATCGTAAGCAAATAGATGGCAGAAAGCTCAATAATTTCATGATGAAATGTCGTCGTGTCTTCCTTTTCTTAACGCATGCGACTCATACCACCGTAACTCTTCTCCTGGTGTTTCTCACGTTCCTCATCCTGCGGCTTCCTATCACCATCACGTCTTGTTCGTGCCACAGCAGGTTCCAACCTCCCCCTCCATCCTGTCGCACTCGGTTGTACCACACTATCCTCTTCTTGTCTTCCTGCTACGTCTCTCTTTTCCTTAAGTCTCAGTTCCTGCCTTCTCTTTTGCACTTGTTCCAAGATCTTTTGCTGTTTCTCTTCAATCTTTTTCATCTTCTTGGCTGCTTTTTTTCGCCTTCTTGTCTTCTTTCTTTCTCTTTTTTCTCTCCTTTCGTGTCTCCTCAGGTGCTGCAAATACTTCTACACCTTTCTGTAGATTATAACTCGAAGCTAAGTCTTTCCCCTCGTACGCATGACCCGGTAGTCCTCTCTGCCGTCTCTCCTTACCAGCTTCTGCGTCGTCCGAGTCACTGTCCTCCTGTAAATCCTTCGGTAGCTTATACTTGAGCACGTGATCTACTCTTAGCACACGATCCAGTAGTTTATATCCATTCAAATTATCGACAGCCAAGATCGTACTCCGTTGATCCTCGTACTTGATAAATACAAAGCCCTTGGACTTGCCTGTTTTTCCATCACGAACCAAATGAATGTCTTCAATCTCTCCAAATTGACTCAATACACACAAGACATCGCCTTCCGAAAGCTCAAAAGGTAGTCCACCAATAAAGATCCAAGCTGATTCACTGTATTTTTGATGCCATGAACCCGAAAGTGGCACATTTAACTCCAGCTCGCGTTCGTTCAGGCGCTGAATTTCTGCTATTACATTCATGAAAAATCAAGTTTTAGAAATAAGGACAATGAGGAATTAGAAACGTAGAAAAGTGACAAGAATCCAAGTTCACATTACGAACTACAGAACGAATTACCGAAATTTTTGACTTGTTGACTAAATATTTACCCAATTTGTTTACTTATCAGAAATACACGTGCTCGTTTTTTTTAGTCCGACGTGATCCCATTTCTCATAAAAGGTCAAGAAATGGTCTTTAACGTTTGAGTGAGCTATCGCCCTAGTCGATCTCCAAGCATCTTCACAAAGTAATGATCTTTGCCATGCGTAATTCCAAGAATACGTTGAGCTTCTGCCAGATATTCCAATGACTTTGTCTTGTAATGAACGACTCCAGGTCCAGTCAAATTTAATTGACCATAGAGATCACCAAGGGTAAACAAATGAAGCCCAGTCACTGGATGGTTTGAACTATAGACACGCTTGTAGAACTCCAGCATACGCTCTCCATACTTACTCGCCACTTCTACACTCCCACGCTCCATTTCAGCACTAAACAATGCAGAAAACGTTTGCAACCTTGCAATGTTGTCACGATGGAGAATTCGACCCTCATGCTCAGCCAGTGTTTCCAATGCGGTGATGCATTGCTGCTGCTGTTTCGCTGACGTTGCCTGATTAGTAACACAATTGGTAACGGAACTGGCATTCTGCAGTGCCTGCTCCACTTCATCCTGGCGTTCCTGCGTCCATAGCTCCTGCGGAACGCCATCAATGTCTGCATCGAGGAAAGCATCTAGACTTCCAGGATCTTGGAAAGGCTGGGAGCAACGAGCACATTTGCAGCAAAAGTGATATTTGCGCTGCAGTCGCTGTTGCCTCTCACGGCGTGGCAGTGCAATATCAACTAGATTAGCAAAAAGTCACACCAATAAACCATATTAGTAGGAATAAAAGCGTGCATACTAACACAACCAACCATAAGTCTGTGTAATCTCTTCGCCAGACTTGATAGGCTTCATCGCTCGAATTTCCATGTCCAGAGTCTTTGAAACGAATCTAAGATTCCAAAATCACACAGTGTCAATTCAACGTTCCGTCACTACATTTTGTAAACACGTACGTGATAGCACAATTAGGGTCACAGCTATGATTGATCATCGCTGCTAGTGGGAAACAACCCGCACCGAGCTCCAGTAGTAATTCATCGCAGATAGAAAAGTTGTTATTGCGGAATCGACTCAACATACGCAGCATCTGATCCATCGAATAGGACTCTACATATCACGACAACATCAAGTCCATCTTGTCAATCATTACCACGTCATATCCACCTTTTTTTCTTGCTTGATTTCTCACCATGCACCAATTTCATTCGTTGAGCTAACGCAGCCAACAGTATCAGCTCATGGTCTTTCATATCTTCGTCGTACCACACGAGCTCCTGAGGCTTGAGTTCCTCTTTATCCTCACGTCTCAACACACGCCCAAGTAATAACACATCCATCACTTGGTCATTCCTCAGTCCACACTGTGCCAATTGTTTTAAACTGTTACACTCCTTGCGATGATTTACTTGCCAGTCCACTTGTTGACAAGCTTTCGAGCCTATTCCATTTAGTCTGTCAAACTTCATACCCTTTCTAAAATGATACATGCTATCAATTATACCATACAATAAAATGCTGTCTGACACCGACCACAGCGACTTGGACGTGTCTTTGAGCCAAAGCATTTGTGACAATGTGAGCCCCAAAGCTCTGGAAGTAGCACGACAGCATATGGAGACACTCGTAGCATCAGATCACCTGGAGATACATCTCTCTGTGATTCAATACGTCTCCCGTGATCTCCTGAAACGTCCACCGAAACGTCCACTGGGCGATTAGATACACTAATCATATTAGTGACCATAATCAAAATGATTGTCAATTTTGGGGGTTTTGTAATGTCACGTGAAGGTTGCTTCAGTCGTCAGAAAGGCTTTTTCTGCTCGTAATCGTACCTAATTGAATTCTTACAAAAATTGAGTTTATTTTTGTGCTGTCCACGTGTACCCTATTCTTATTTCCCCTCCCCGACCGAGTGACCATCACTCTTTCGTTTGTTCTCCATTCTTAGTGGGGGTGGAAGACACGGTTTCAACAGTCGCTTGTGGACCCCCTCAGTTTGTGACTTGTAGCAAGTGGATTGTCCTTAAACTTGGAAAACTATCATCTACGTGCTTTCTTCTCTATCTCATACGACTACAGGGTCGTAGTTTTATCTGTGGCCTTCATTAGATTGAGGTAAGAATCCCGTATTTTATTACAGGGGGACGCTTCCATTCTTGCAAAACTAGGTATTATATCTACCCACAAACTCTTGATATAGAGTTAAATGGCGTATAAGAGTGCAGCGGGATATTTTACAGCTTTCTGAGCTCATTTCGAGGCTCAGGAAGTCGTACGTCTCTGTTCGTCATAATAAATTACCGATCACTTGGTAATTTATTATGATAAGCACAAGACTGTCCTTTGTCCATCTGTAAACTATCGTATCGAGAGAATACAGTGCTGAGTAATGAAAAGAACTAACGAAAGACTTTCTCGTGCGTCATTGATTGCTCTTCTGACCCAGGAACTTGCTTTTGGAGCCATAAATTGTAACAAGTGAGCTCGTAACAGCTAGCGCGACGTATCGAGTTTAGTCACAGCTTGGAAACGTGATTGCAGCAAATCTACTGCAATTACTGAAAAAGAGAGCACTAGAGGTGCTTGATAAACAGCTTACGAAGCACTTGAACTAGCTCATGTCCCTTCCTCAGCAGTCTGTGCCCCCTGTTCCTCAATATGCACCAAAACCGGCAGTATCTGGTCATTCTGATTCGATTGCTACTACGACAGTAAGCAGAATGCCTTGCATGTCTTGATTTGTACTACAAGACAACGTGTTTTGCTGAAATGTCTGCTAATTTGTGTAATGATGTCTTGATATGTGCACAGACTATGAATCCAAGCACGTCAGGAGCGCCAATGTCTACAGCAGTATCAAGCTCTAGTGCGGCTATGGCTACAGCAAGTATCAACGGACCGAGTGCCACTGCACCGAATTTGGCTGGAGCCGCTCCTGGCACTTTTGTCGGGACACCCACAACAGATTGGAGGGACAAAGATGCCGATCGAGGCGCTCGACAGCAAATTGCACGAATCATGTGCGTACTCAGGTTGTTATGCCTGACTGGTGGGTGTGATTGACTGAACGTTGCCGAGCTGGTTGTGCTCGTGTGTAGTTTGACGTTAATCATGAAGAGTGCCAATAGACCGACTTCTGCTAATTACAATCCACGAGAGATTGCGAGGAGATTGGAGCATACGCTTTACATGGGAGCGCCATCAAAACAAGAATATAGCAACGTGCAGACATTGAAGGCACGGCTGCAGCAAGCTCTGGACAGTTCAAGGCGGCGGCAAATGCAGCAGCAACAGGCAAGGCTAGAGCAACAGCAGCTGCTGCAAGCGTCAAGGACATCTACCGATCCTGTACAGCAACCAACACAAGCTCAGTTGCTACAACAGCGCCAAATAGCGCTGCTCCAACGACAACAGCAGCAGCAAATGGCTGCAGCACTGCATAATCAACGAACAAACTTCCAGGCAGTCCCGTTTCCTGGTACCTCCGCTGCTATGACCCAGAGTTCTATGTCTCAGCCACTTCAGATGCCGGCAAATATTTCACAAATGCCGGTAAAAACCACTGGGTCTGTCAATGAAGTAAACACAACTCCAGGTATCTCCGCTCCGAATCCTAGCATTGGCGTAGGGGGTGCAGCCACTTCGATTTTGGACGAACTGGAGCGCGAGGCAGATGAGATGGCTAATGGAGTGAGTGACCAACCGCTTTCAATGCCGGAATCTGAACTTCAAGTTGCTACGACACCAACTACAGGTTTGAACACTGCAAATGGAAACAATTATGTAAACGTGTCATCAACAGCAGCATCGCCAACCGCAGTCGCTGGTGCGGGTTCGTTCAGCGCAATGCCGCTGAGCATGCCGCCAGAGATAAGCGCCAGTATTGCCTCGTCGGCAGGACTTGTTCAGCCAACTTTGACGATGTCTAGTGCTGCTTCAGCGACCACAGCTGGATCGAACCTGTATCATGAAATGAATTTGACAGGTTCACAGCTTCAGCAGCTCCAACAAATACAGCAGATGCAGCAGCTAAGGCGTATGCAACAGCTCCAACAGCTTCAACAGCAGCAATTGAACGGAAAGATCAGTGCTGCGCAATTGCAGGCCAGCAGCACGGTGCCGACCAGTGGCACGGCGACTACACTAAGTGCTGCTACTGCGACAGGCAACGGAGCGGCACCTGGTATGATCCAAATGAATGAAGTGTCAATCGCTCAGAAGCGTGAAGAACTGAAGCGACGGCTAATACAGTTGAAACACGCACGAACGTGTACGACGGGAGAATGCACGATCGATTACTGTAGCCGCACGAAAGCATTACTTTCACACGTATCACGCTGTGCAAACGCACAGTGTACGATACTGGGATGCAAGTCGACTCGTCAGTTGCTTTCGCATTTTCGAAAATGCCGCAATCTACAGTGTGATGTGTGTAGCGCTATTCGGCCTCCAATGAACGAGAACGAGCAGCAGCTGGTACTTCGACGGCAGCAGGAACGGCTTTGCATGCTGCGCCACGCCAGTACGTGTACATCGCAGCTATGCATTCTCCCGTATTGCGCTGGAATGAAAGTGCTTTGGAAGCACATCTGCGATTGCCATCAGCGGCAGTGTCGAACGGATCATTGTATCTCATCGCGTTACGTGCTTTCGCATTTCAAGCAGTGCAATAAAATGATTTGTGAAGTATGTGGTCCCGTGCGGAAGGCAATTAAGGTGGTCGACTCTTGCCGAGGAAATGCTGCGCAACTTCAGTTGGTGGCAAGCCAGTGTCCAGATGGTGTGCGTGGATTGATCAAAATTATGAACACTACCACTGCAGGAGCCTCAACTTCTGGTACACAAGCAGAAGCTGGAGGTAATGTGGTAGGCAGTGCACAGCAAGCGAACGTACAGGCCAAGACAGCTCCTGTAGCCGGCACGTTGGTTGACCAGGTTCACACAACTATGTCGAGTGAGCCCAGCTTGACAAACCTTACGGAACCGAGTGTACTGGAGATGAAGAAAAAGCCTTTGAAACAGCAAACAGAGAAAGAGAAGAAACTCCGTCGCAAAGAGCAAGCTAAAATTGCAAAAGCTCGTGCTCAAGCAAAGGCAGCAGCAGCGGCGGCGGCAGCACTTACTGGGCCCGTTACTGCTTTGGCACCGGCAGGAAGCGCGTCGCCTGTGATACACAATGGTCTCGTTGTTCGTGGCACTCAGGCGGAATTACGTGGTAATCATCATGTTTCACACCAAGATATTTCTTTCTTAGACTCAATGACGGAAGGTCAGCTGGACGAGCACATTCGTTCGCTTAGGTTTAATTTTTGTGGACACATATCGATTAGCGAGCTGAAGAACCGACTAATGCCGCTGCTGACAAAGCTTATGGACAGTGAGTATGGGTGGACATTTAATAATCCAGTGGATCCTGTTCAGTGGAACATCCCAGACTATTTTGATATCATCAAGTGCCCCATGGATCTTGGCACGATCAAGAAACGGTTGGAAAGTGAGCACTACACCAGTGTTGAAGCGTTTGCGGGTGACGTACGTTTGGTGTTTGAAAACTGCATTGCATACAATAGCAGCACAAACAAATTCAATATTGCAGCGAAACAGCTGCTTGCCTCATTTAATAAGTCGTTAGCGGCGCTTAAGAATCAGCTGGAAAAGCAGCTTTTCAAGCGCTGTGAACAGCGTCGTGAAGAGATGTGTCAGTTATGTGGAGGAGATTCGTTCAAGTTTGCACCGTGCATGCTTTTTTGCAGCGGCCCTTGTGCTGGTCGGATTCGAAGACATACTCATTACTACAGTGACCCTCGTGGAGAACATCATTGGTGTTCAACCTGCTACAAGCAAATGAAAGACGGTCCTATTGATATGTCGCTTTTGCCCCAATTGTCAAGTGCAGCAACGGAAGTGGCTCCTCCTCCCGGTGCTGGCATGGTGCCATTCGATGGCGTACTGAAGAAATCGTCGCTAGTTAAGCGAAAGAACAGTGAGGTTGCTGAAGAACCGTGGGTAGAGTGCGATTCGTGCAAATTGTGGTATCACCAAATTTGTGCTTTGTTCAATGAACGAAACCACGCGATATCCGGCGAGCAAGAACCGTTCGTGTGTCCGATTTGTGTAAAGAAACAACGAGCAGCTGGAGTGAAACCATCATTAGACAATGGTCTTAAGGCGAAACGACTTCCAATCACACGAATGGCAAAGTTGATCGAGACGCGCGTGCTTGAGTCGATACAGAAGGCAGGCGAGGATGAAGCTGTGCGTATGGGTAATATGGGTAACTCCGACAGTATCGGTTTTTCCAGTGGTGCGAAGGAATCTGCATCTGATACCCAGTTTGGAATTACAATCCGTGAGGTTCTCAGCATCGATAAGCAGGTGCAAGTCAAACCAAGGATGGGCAAACTACTGGTGACGAAGTATGGAAACATTAAACCGGCTGAACATGATGCGTCTGGGGTTGCGGGTGGGATGACGAAGTCGTTGAAGCGGCCACGATCAACAACTAATGTTGATGACAAGACGGCTGCTGCATCAGCATCACTGCCTTTGTCATTGCAATTGA